GGGTTAGGGTTAGGGTTGGGTTGGGGTTAGGGTGAGGGTTAGGACGCCTCGACAGCTAGTCAAGTCCGTCGTTCCAGCCGCTTACCATTCCTGGTCACTAGCTGTGCGTTCAGGCTCGATGAGCCTGCGATAAGTTTCGAATGCCTGGCACGCTGCCCGAGGAAACAGTCTTACTCAGTGTGAACAATAGGCCTTTCCTGTCTGCCCGTTACCACATTCTTCAAAACCCCGGAAAAGAACTGAAGAACTACTTAGTTTTCATTCTCCCTCCCGCATTTCTTAGTGGCGCTAACACAGCGGTTCTCAACCTGTGGGTCACGACCCCTTTGGGGGTCGAACGACCCTTTCACAGGGGTCGCCTAAGACCATCAGAAAACACATATAATTGCATATTGTTTTTGTGATTCATCACTATGCTTTAATTATGTTCAATTTGTAACAGTGACATTGGGGGTCACCACCACAGGAGGAGCTGTATAGAAGGGCAGCGGCGTTAGGAAGGCTGAGGACCACTGCTCTAACATGTCCAGAGGGAGCCCCGTGTCCTCCCGAACACGACGTGTCTGTGGGCGTCAGCTGCACGTCAGCCTCCGGCCGCGATGAGTCAGGGCCTGCACACGGCCTCGGGCTCAGGTCTGGACACGAGCGATCCCAGCACCGTCCACGGCACCGAGGGCCCACACGCCCCTCCTGCTCGTCCGAACGCTGCTCCCTCCTTGCCAATCGCAGCCCCAGGCTCCCCTCTTTCTTGAGAAGATTATGAAGATGCCCAACCAAGCCCTGGCTGGCGTGACCAGTGGTTAGACCCTGGGCCTGTGCACCGAAGGGTTTCGGGTTTGATTCTCGGTTGAGGACATGTACCTGGGTTGCCAGTTCACTTGTGCAGAAGGCAACTAATCAGTGTGTCTCTCTCACATCAATGTTCCTCTCTCTCTCTCTCTCTCTCTCTCTCTCTCTCTCTCTCTCTTACCCCCCCCCCCCGGCCCCCTTCTACTCTCTCGGAAAAACAGTGGAAAAAAATATATCCTCAGGTGAGGATTTCCAACAACAAAAAGATGCCCAGCCCCAGACTTTCCCTCCTCCTACCAGAACCGGCTTGGGCACAGCCCCAGCCCCTCACACCAGCCCCGCCCCACAAGGCCCTCAAACCCCTCTTGCTGGCTGCAGCCGCCTCCCCTGCACCCGGTCGCAAACCCAGCAGCTGCGCTCCCACCGCCCTCCCGCTGCGAGGCACGGGCAGGGGTGGGGTGGGGGGGCCCTGCAGGACTCGGTCCGTCCGACAGCCTCCTGCTGCTCTAGAGGCGCGGGCCTCCGATCCTGGCTACTCCCCGGGAATAAGTTAACTCCGTGTGGAATCCGTCCTCATTTTCTGCCTTTCACCGGTGCTTCTCGGTGAAAGCCAGCAAGTGCCCTGGTAGCAGTTGTGTGTCACCGTAAGCACAGCCGTCCTAGGGGCCAAATGATAGAAAGGCGATCACAAGAGAAAGGCTGAACAGTAGCAGACACGGCAGCTGAGGATTAGAGAAAGCCCCAGCTGGCCGGCTGGGTGACAGTGCCGCTCTTGGAGCCCGCAACCTGCCAGGCCCCCGTGAGAGCCCTGTACACACTCACCGCCATCGCCAGCCAGGGCTCTGTCGCAGAGCAGGCGTTTTCACGCCCATTGTGCGGATGAGGACACTGAGGCTCAGAGCCCCGTGGCCTTCCTGGCAGCCTCCACACCCACCAAGCACCGGTGCCGGCAGCCAAACTCAAGCCGCCAAAGAGCAGGTGTTTCTACCACAGACACAGACAACGCGGACATTCCTGAGTGAAGCAAGCCGCCCTGCTTCCCAAGCACCGGCCTCTGGCTTTCCCCCCACTTGTCGGAATAAGCAAGCACCTGTTCAGAAAATATTCAATGCTCGGCCCGTTATGAAGGAACCCTGACTGCGGGCCTGTTTCCGATGGGGCTGACGGCCACTTCCTGGGGAAGAGCATGGAATCAGCACAGTGAGCGCAGAAGCAATTCGCACAGGAATGTGCGCGCGTCTTTCCTGAAGGAGGGATTCCGCGTGGAACGGAGAGGTCACGCGCCACCTGCGACCAGACGGCGAGGCCAGGGCAGAGAGTGACAGGGGACGTTCCGCTCACGCACGCCTCGGGCTCAGGACGGGCGTCGCGCTCGGGCTTCCTGCCTCCGGGAGGTTGGGGAGGAGCTTCGGTGCTGGGGGCTCTTTGAAACAGCCAGTCACCTGGTTCCTAATAAAACCTCCTCAGACCTGAGCGGGGAGGAGAGGAGGGGCCGGCCGGTGTTTGGGGGAAACGGGGGCTGTCGCAGCGGCACGAGGAGATCCGAACTGCACTTACTTTCATGCGCAGAAGCTCGCGGCCCATGACTGGCTCCTGTTTCCCCGGAGCAGGCCTTGCAGTCCAGCGGACCGGGGGAAGGAGGGTGTGGGGGTTGCCATGTGCTGCTCAGGTGGCGCCAGGCGGACACGCACCTGCTCTGGCTTCAGCAAGGACAGCGGTTTATTGATGATGAAGTCAACACAAGGGGCAACAGCTAAGTGGCCAGGATGCGGGAAGTACATGAGCTTCGGGGACGACTGAAGTCGTGCCTCGGACAGAGTCACATTCACTAGATAGGCACCGAGGCTCGGCTGGCACGGCTCCGTGGCTGAGCGTCGACCTACGAGCCAGGAGGTTCGATTCCCGGTCAGGGCACAGGCCGGGGTTGCAGGCTCGATCCCCAGTGTGGGGCGTGCAGGAGGCAGCTGATCTCTCTCATCATTGATGTTTCCATCTCTCTCTCCCTCTCCCTTCCTCTCTGAGATCAATACAAACATATTTAAAAAAAAAATAAAAATAAACTGTCACTGAATGAAAGAAAGAACCCACTAGGAAGTGGGCTGATGCTAAGCCTCTCTCCTTACAGACTCCATTCCCACCTGGGGGCAAGGACGCCTCTGTAGGCTCACACCCTACAGCGAGCACGTCAAACTCGCGGCCCATGGCCCTCACGCGGCCACAACGAATATTTCTGTGGCCCAGCCAATAGGACGGTATGTAAGAAACATTTTAATAAAAATTTCGTAACTTAATCTTTACAATATCCTGTTATGCATAATTATTAATAACGAACTACAACTTTTGCTAAGGACTGATGACTGTCGTCGTGTTGCATTCGTTTCCCTACGCGCCTTACGCGCAGGCGCACCATTTCCCTCCATTAATATCAGCAGCGAATGTTCTGGCAGCCGGTGGCCACGTCATTAGTCCCGGACTGACTTGTTTGGTGTGCGCAACAGGAAATATCTCGCTTTCGGAGAAGGAGAAAAATAGGTTTACTTGCATTACGCTTATTTATTTGTGCAGTTATGCAGTGTCTGGTAAGTTAATGTTCAAGAAAAAATATTAATTTTTATTAAAATGTTCCATTATTCTATGTTAATGATGACTCGTTTATTTCAGCCCTTTGTAATCCGCATGTCTCCATCGCAATAAACCTACGTTTCTATGAAAATGGAAGCTTTTGTTTTTTAGCGACACATGCACTTACACCTTGTCTATCCGCCTGTCATAGCCTTGGCGTCCGACACGCTTGCCCTCCAGCCTCTGCCTCCAGGGAGGACGGGTGTCAGTCGCTCTTGGTTCCTGACGGGAGGGCTCAGCAGGCACCTGCCGGGGCCTGGCGGGCGGCTGCCTCCTCTCTGCTGGGCCCGGCATGTGGCCAGCACCCACCCCGTCACAGTCCCCCAGCGGCCACGGAGCCTTGGGAGGGTGGGGCCTGCAGGGGGAGGGAGCCACTTGTGCCCCAGGTGATGCCAGGAGCTGCGGAGGGAGGGGTGCCCTTGAGAGGCCTGAGGGCTCACATGGACGCGTCTCTCGGTGAGTCGCAGGGGCCGCCACAGCACAGCGCAGCCCAGCGGTTCCCGCGGGGAAAGGGGTTTCCTCACAGCACTGGGGGCCTGGCATCCGTCAAGGGGTCCTCGAGGCTGCGTCCTTCTCAGCCCTTGCTCTGTGGCTTCTGGTTTCACACTGGCATTGGGTCGGCGCCCACCCGAACGATTTCGCATTAACTGAGTTGTCTCTTGAAAAGCCCCGTCTCTGGGGGTAGGACCCCAACATGGGAGTTAGAGGGGCACACCCTTCAGCCATCACAGGCCCTGGTAAGGATACTGTGAGGGTGTCCATTGCATGATGCTTTCTTCCAGGTCTTTCTTAGCTGCTGTCAGGGAAAGGGTGTGGCTTCCCTCTGAGGAGCCTGGCTAACGGGTGGTCCCCGGGGGGCGGGGTCTGTGGGACCCCCGGGTGTGAATTTCTGTGTTGTGCCCCCTCCTCTTCCTTCCTGGCCTGTGTGTGTCATCGTGTTACACCTTCGAGGCTCCAGACGCCGCGTGTGTCCTGTGCGGGAGCGTGGGCCAGCGATGGTCCGGTCGGTAGATAAACGAGCCCTCGGTCAGCACCTGTGCTCACAGAAGCAGCGCTCCATCCGGGGAGCCGAGGGCGCCCCCCGCTGAGACGCGCGGCCTCTAACACTCACTGGTCTGCCTCGTCTCTTCTGGAAGAAGCCGGCCTGTGAGTGAAGGTATCAATTCGGGGCATGGGGTGGGAGGGGCCAAGATGTGTCACAAGGTATTTTTTAAGAATCCACCAGCAACTAAGCAAATCCATGCTTCAGTTAGCGCAAACCGGTGAGAGTGGCAGCCCTCAATGGGTTTCCCGTGTCTCTGCCAGGAGGCGGACGGAGTGTAGGGGGGTCGGGTTGTTGCCAGACCTACGGCTTTTTCCTGAGCGTCATCAACTTCATGGGCAGTCATGTCACCTGGCCCCGGGCCAGCCGCCAGCGCTCCTGGATTTGCTGGGCAGGCAGGCGGGGGCAGGCTGGGGGAGCAGGCTGGGGGAGCAGGCTCGGGGGGCGGGGCTGGGGGGCAGGCTGGGGGTGGGAGGCAGGCAGGCGTTGCACAGAGTAGCAGGCGTGCGTGGGCTGTGGAGCGGAGCCCTGTAAGGAGAACGGGCTGTCCCCAGGTGGCCTCGAGGGGGAGGCCTGGATCTGACCAACACTGCCCAGCGGCGCTGCCCAGGCCCCCGCCCCTCCCGCCCCAGAACCCGGGCTGTGCACAGCCACGGTGGACAGGAACCCAAACAGCCTGGGGCCTTAGTTCTAGTTCGTCTACTTACTGTGGTCACCTGACATCTGTGTGCGTTTCTAAGACGCATGCCTGCTTCTGAGTTCTCTGCTGCTCCATTGTCCCAGCTGCACTCAATGACTGGTCCCAGCATCAGTCCCACCAGGCAGCTCAAGGTGCCCCAAGTGCTCCTGCGGGGGCAAAGGTGCTGTGCTCCCGGGTGAGCCATCCGTGCAAGAGAGAGCGGAGTCGGGGAGGGAGGAGGGTGTGAGTGACCCCTGATAAGCTGAAGACTCAGGGGCCATGGACAGAGAAGAGCCCGGAATTCAAATCCACGGCCCAGTCAGGGGATGCCGTCTCCGCCCGCCTTTGCCCTGCAGCCGCGGCACAGCGAGGCCGTCCATCGTGACAGCCGGCAAAGGGGCCTCGGCGATGCCCGGCCGGGCACGCACTGCGACCGTCACGGGTGCATTTACGAAGGCACAGGTGCCAACAAGCCCGTGCTAGGACGTCCGCATTCGCCTCTGACAGCTGGGCTCGGGAGCCAGCTGCTCACCCTCCAGCTCCTGGCAGACCGGCCCGGGGCTGGGGAGAGGCAGGGCCACAGCCGGGAGCCGCCCGCCCGAGCCCCAAGGGGAGGGCTGTGGGCTCCCCTGGGCCTGGGTCTCCGTGCTGAGAAGGAAGACACTTCCTCTTGCAAGTGTCAGAGACGAAGAAACCTTTGGGAGGGAGCAAGGGGGGGGCGGGCTGTGGCTGTGGGCCTGGCGTCAGACCCACAGGGCGACGGCGTCCTCGGGCGAGAGGGACACGCCTGGGCCAGCACGCGTGTGCGGGCCACCATGGGGGCGTTCGCTGCGCCGTGTCTGCTGGGGCTGCAGCATGAGGGCGGCCTCGACGGACGTGTGCTCTGCTGTGCCTGGCAGTGCCCTCTGGTTCGCGCTGGGTAACTCCTTGCTGACCTGGAATCCTCGGCAGAGAGGCCACCTGGAAGGGCCGGCCTCCCCCCTCACCTGTCACTGCAGCGATGGGGGGCGGGGGGCAATGCCAGGCACCGGGCACCGGGCACCGTGGGAGAAGCGAGCGGCGGCGGCCTGGCAGGCCGAGCCCTGTTTCACTTCCCCGCGGTGCTCCCCGGCGGGACTGTTTGTCCGTTTTGAGGAGGAAGAGAACGGGCCTGGGAGCCTACCCAGCAGCAGGGGAAGGCGGAAGCCGCAGCTCCTGGAGAGAAACAGTAAGACTTGGGTTTTGTTAGAAACAATGTCCTCGTTCCCAGCAGGTCAAACCCGTAAAAACTGGGAGGGAACGGGCTGGGGCTTTTACTGCTCAGGGCGTTTGCATCTCTCCTTCCTCCCTTGGCTCCTCCTCCCAGCGCTCCAGGCCCCGGAGCTCCTTTCCCTGGAGAGAAATCCACTCAGATGCCGAGACGTTCCCAGCCCGCCGGCCAAACCACAGGCATCCAAGCTGAGGCCCCGCCGTTAACAAAGCAACGGCGGGAGAGGCCCAGGAGAGACGGGGGCGGGGAAGGCGCGCAACAACGGCACAGGTCCCCGCTTCAGGGCGGCGGGGAGGACAGACAGAGAACTGCTGGTCGGCGTCGGGAGTCACTCAGAACCAGTGCTGACAAAATCAAGAAGCTGTTAGCGACCAGCGACTCTGCCGCTCAGATCACTAGTCGTCCCGGACTCTGAGGCCCTTGAAGTTCATTCCCCACGGTCTGCACGCTCCTCACCTGGGCGATGGGGCCGGAGCCTCCTCACATTAGGAGCCGAGACAAGAGCCTGTCCCTGCCTCTCTCCCCCCCCCCCCCTTCCTCCTTCTCTCTCTTCCTTCCTCCCTCCCTTCCTTATTTTCTTATTGACTGTATATTATATACACGAGAGGCCGGTGCAGGAATTCGTGCATGGGTGGGTCCCATCTCGCCCAGTCCCAATCAGGACCGGCCAGGGGAGGGACAGAGGGAGGTTGGCTGTGGGAGTGCACTGACCACCAGGGGGCAGCTCTGCGTTGAGCGTCTGCCCCCTGGTGGTCAGTGCCATCATAGCGACCGGCCGGTCGTCCGGTTGTCTGGTCATAACGGTCGCTTATGGAGAGAGATTTGTTATTTTCGTTCTCAATTACAGTTTGCATTCAGTCTTACTCTGTGTTGGTTCAGGTGTATAGCATAGGTTAGACAATCAGATACTTACAAAGCGTCCCCCCGATATTTCCAGTGCCCCTGGCCCCACACACAGTGACAACACTACTGCTGACGTCACACGCCCGGGACGAGTCAGTAACCCCCAACCTGCACTTCTCAGTCTCCTGCTGCTACGTCGTTAGCTAATAACCCTGAGACTGCCGCCTCGTCCCGGAATAGCCGTGCTGAGCGGACACAGGTTCTGGTACAAACTGGACTCTTCGGGGCGCCAGCCATCCTCCCCACAGGGGAACGGGTGCACGTGCTGACCGCAGACCCGAGCCTTGCCTGTTGCTCTGCGCCCAGCGGGTGGGGTCATGTGAAGCCGGAGACCCCAGTCTGGTCGGCCCGGAGGGGCTGGGTCCCAGCTTTTCTATAAACTCCCCGGGAGCTCATGCTCCCGCCCACAGTCCCAGTGACGCGTGGGGCTCCTGTTCTCTCCTGGGTGAAGGGCAGAGATGGGCAGCTCAGGGCTGGTTTGGGGTTCGGCCAGGCCCCCGGGGCCCGGTCTCCTGCTTCCTGCTTTACTCTCACAGGTGTGGTGCCCAACCTGGGCGCCTCCCTGTCCCACGCGCTGCCCTCGGGCGCCGTGTCTGTGTTCGCCAGGGACAGGAGGGAGCACCGAGGTCCGGCCATCGCACCTCTCGGGAGGACACTGCAGACGGAGTAACTGAGGCCCGGAGCTGGTCGGCGGCCTGCCTGGGTCAGCCGGGAGGGCCTGGCCAGAGCGTCCCCCCCCCTGCGCCTCGGAGGAACCAGAGCCGGTGCTGCCGCTGGTCCCGGGCGTGTCCCCTGTGGGCCTGTGGCCTGTGCTCCACCCCCACAAAACCAGGCGAACCTCGTTCCCATTGCCACCCAGCCGGCAGCTCCGGGCTCGGAGACTGCAGAGACGGAGGCCCCGATGCATGAGCGTCTAGCCCAGGGGTGGGCAAACTTTTTGACTCGAGGGCCACAATGGGTTCTTAAACTGGACCGGAGGCTGGCACAAAAGCATGGATGGAGTGTTTGTGTGAACTAACATAAATTCAAAGTAAACACCATTACATAAAAGGGTACGGTCTTTTTTTTTTTTAGTTTTATTCATTTCAAACGGGCCGGATTCAGCCTGCGGGCCGTAGTTTGCCCACGGCTGGTCTAGTCTGTCCGAGGCGGGCAGCCTGGAGGTGGGTGTGGTCCATCACAGCCGCTGGGCCATGCAGCACCTAGATCGCCGCTCCCCCCCCCGCCAGCGCCTCGGGTCAGGATCTAAATGTGTTTTGGGAAGTGAGAGAACCTCCGCTTCTATTTCAGTCTCCGTGCAGCCGCCACCCTGCCTGGTTACAGACACAGACTCGCAGCCCTTCTGTTTGCTGCTGGAGGCAGGCACTTGGCCTTGGGGGGGGGGGGGGGGCGCGGCGCGCAGGCAGGGCAGCCGGTTCCACCCTCAGATCCCTCCCACAGGCCTGGGGGCCACAGTCTTTTTAGTTGCCAACCAAGTGAGTCCAGGATGAGAAAGTCGCTGCCCTCGGCCTGGAAGGGATACTGTTAAAGAAACCACAGCAAACCCTGCCCTCCCCGAGCAGAGCCTGCGGCTGCACTCGCAGCTCCCTGTGAGCTCGGCCCCGTCCGTGGTTTTAGGGGGGCTCCGGGGACAGGCCCAGCACCCACTGGGCCTCCAGCACCTTCCGCCCAGCCTCACGCGGCCGCCTATGCAGGGAGAGGTGCGGGCCACTGCGTCCAGGCCACGGACGCCAGACCAGCCCGGGCTGAGCACAAGGCCGCGCCCCCCCCCGCCCCCCACCCCGTGCCGACAGCGCCCTGCAGGCCTCGGCCGGCTCCTTCCAAGGAAGCGGGTTATCAGCCAGACTTCCTGCTCCCAGGCCCTGCCCTGGCATCGCGGCCAAGGCCATGTTTTGGCTGGACCCACTCCCGGGCCTGCGCACATCCCGGGGCGCTGAGCTCAGAGGGGAAGGGAAGGGAGCGGGCTCGTGGGCTGGGTGCTGCCGGGCCCTCCAGGGACGTGGCTCGGTGACCAGCACCTCCGGAGGCGGCCGTGGAGACAGGCTGGTCAGCAGGGCAGGCGGCACAGGGACACCGAGACAGGTCAACGCCACCCAGGTGACGGGCGTCTCCTAACGCGCGAAGTCCTCCCTGTCCCACACTCAGACTTCAGCGTGAAAGGCCTGCACGTCTCCTCCCCGCCCCCCCCCCCCCCCCCCCCGAGGGCCAGGACCTGACATCACCCCCACGGAGACGACAGCAGAAGCCAACGAGCGCCCTGTGCCAGCCACACCCAGGACGACACGTCCAGGGATTCAGCCTCATCTGCTGAAGCCGATGGAGAGGCGAGCGGCACCCCCCTCGGACCTCCCTACCGCCCAGCGCAGGCTCTCCCTCCAGAGCCGCCGCCTGGCTCCTTTCCCGCCGGCTCTCCTGAGGCTGCTGCCACCCGAGGCCCCTCCTGGCTCACGGTCCCAGGGGAGCACACGCCCTCTCAAGCCTCCTGGACCGAGTGGGAGGTCCTCCTGCACGAAGTCACGGACCCACACACCCAGGCCGGCCCCAGGCAGACGCAGGGCGGGGACCCCCCCCCCCCCCCCCGGGGACATCCTGTGTGCAGACCGCGGCCGGGCAAGGGCACGCGGCCTCGTGGGCTCCCTGGCTCGCTCCTCTCTGAGCCGCGGGCGAGGCTGGGAGGAGGCCTCCGCGCCGTCTGCAGGGGCCTCACCTGGGCTTGCGGTGGGAGCTGAGTCTCAGGCCACAGGCATCCCTGACAGTGACGGCTATGGGGGAGGGGCCGCCCCCCAAATACATCACCCACCGCAGGCAACGCCGTGAGGTCACACTGCTCCCGGGAGCCCTGCCGTCTGCTCCCCACCCCCCTTCAGCTGATGCTCATCACCTCGCGGCCGAATGATGCCTGTGTGTGTGCGCGCTTGTGTGCACGTGCTTTGCATGTGCGCGCGCGTGTGCATGTGTGTGCGTGCGTGTGCGTGTGTGTGCGCATGTGTGTGTGTGACATCTCCAGGTGCTGCTGAGATGAGCGCGTCCTTTTCGTCTCCCCGTTCGCCCGGGCACAGGGCTGAGCCTGGCACACAGTGACATTGGCGACAGCCTGTCCAGGAGGATGAACTCAGGCGACCGTAGATTCAGCATCACCTCCTGGCAGAGGGGTGGGGAGGAACTGGCCCGGGTTTTACTTGGGGCCCCTCCAGGCACCTACTAAGAGGCACATCCACGGAGACGGCAGCCGAGCCCACGGGGGTAACTTCGACTCCGGCAGCTGAGTGCCCTGAGCCCATCCTGGACTTGTCCCTGTAGAGGAGCGGACGCTCAGCAGCTCCGCGAGGGGTTTCCCAGTGTGAACAGGGTGGCTTCCCATGCAGCTCAAGGGCTGGGCTGGGAGCTGCTGGGCGGGTGAGCTGGAGTCCGTTCCAAGCAGCGATGGCGGGATGAGATAAACACGGCTGTGATGTCACCCCACAGCCCTGTTTCCTTAGATGCTCCGATCAAACGCCCGGGCAGATGGGCTGTTCTGTTTTGCTTTGAATGACCTCAGCTTTCTAAAATCCTCGTCTGCCTCGCAGGTGACGGGTTTTCCCAGGGACTCGGTTCCACGGTGAGAGGCTGGGAAGCCGCCCCCGCCTCCCGCCGTCGGGTGCCTGGGGTGCGCACAGCAGCCAGTGCAGTGGTGGATGGCGGTCCGAGCCCCGCTCCCGCACCAGATGTTGGCGGGCACGTCTCCCAGGAGGCCACGGGGTCCTGGACTCAAGGCCGGTGAGGCAGAGGCTGCCCGTGGCTCTCGGTGGAGTCGATGCGTCCAGACCAGAGCACTCGGCACTTTTGTGACTAAAGAAACGGTGGGTCGACTTTCACAATGAAAAGCTCCGAGAACGGCAGTGAGGGTTTGATGGGGCAGAAACAGGGTATTGGGGACCAGCTATGATTGCAAGGAATGTTAGCCATGCCTGGTGGCCTGTGATAGTTCTGCTCTGATTGGAGAAGGCACGTGCCCACCTGGCTGGAGTTGCCGTGGGCCCTGGGAGCTCCCCTGGAAGTGCAG